GTTAAGAGAAGGCCAATCACTCCCAAACCCGATGACCAAAACAGTGCCGACATTTTTGTACAGAATTATGACAAATGAATTATCACTTTATCATTATTATTATAGTATACTATTACTGCTATTAATTATAATTTATATATTCTTATATATTTTAATGGTATGGTTTCGCACGAAATAAAAAGTTTATTAATTTAATAATATATGAGAAATAGTACTGTATATGAAAATAGACTATAGCTATGCCTTATAACGCGAATCGTCTTCTGTTTGTTCCCGAGTCGTGACGCTATTTATAGAGAAAATATAATTTAAAATTTGATGACATGTTAAACGGAAAATGTTGCATACCTTCAGTGCCCACTCGTATTCACCAAATTTTGAATCAAACGTTCCCTTTTGTAGTGAACGTAACTTCAGTGTAAATCGGGGTCCGATCTCCTGAATCGCTACTTTAGTGTTGTTTTTAAATTCATATCTGTTTTAAATGACAAGTTTATGGTTAGAAAATAATAGTTAATATTCAACGACAAGTCCGTCTTTACCTGTGATGGCGAAAGAATATATAATCTCTTTGATTGTGAAAAGTGACAACTCGTCGGCCTTTGAATTGCGGGTCGTAATGAAATACCGACGCAAACATTCGGCCGATTGTGTGGCCGAGTCTTGTATTGAAATTATTGAGAATCACTTCAGGTCTATGAGCGCTATATTGGGCCCGATTCTGGTCATGCATTTAAATAGATTTCTGGTTAATTGTTGTCACATTGAATGCATTTAAAGTATAACATGCATTCATACCTTTATCTCTTTACAAAAGCGAACAGAACTGAGTCTATAGTGAGTGGTCGGACCGTCGGGCAAATGGACGTGAAGTAATCCGTCTGTGATTTGAGTGACAGTTAATATAAGGCAGACTTAAAAGCCATTCAGTCATCACTTACTGGGTTTCCTCCAGTCTTCGTTGACAATCACAATATCGGTGTAATGCCTAGCGATGGCCGCCTTAACCATATTCTTAACACTGGATCTGTTCCTAAACCTAAACTCTGCATTAGGTATCGTCTGTTTAAGTTCTCGACAAAACTTAATGGTAGTTCTGTGAGGATTATCACTCGATGTGATCAATATCTTGGGCTCGACTTCTTTGCGAAAATATGAGGCCATTTCGTCCAACTCTTCGTCGGCCTTCACCTCTTCGTCTTCGGGATCAACCATTGTTTCGTCGGGTTCTCGCATCGACTCGATTGTCTTCGGAACCATTTTCGTGGCCTTCAATACATCCATCGATTAGTTTTTGAAATGCAATCAAAATATTACTCTTCAATACCTTTTCGCCCAAAGCTTTGGCGGTGTTTTGTCTCTCACTTCTCGCCGTTTTCTTTGTCTAAATATCGGGTATAAAACAAATGTCAAAATTACTCAATAAATGTGTGATTCAAGTGCTGGAAGCGATGGGTGACCTCTTTCTTCTCCTTCTTCATTTTGATGTATAGCTCTCGACGTCTTAACTTGTTTTTGATTTGAGACAATAGACTCTGTTCCGGGAACAACACCCGCGGCGGCTCATCGCTGGCCACATCTTCGGCCACAGTCTCGTCATCGTTGGTCTCATCTATCGGATCCATATCTCCATCATTTGCTTGTGAGTCCATAATCTGCTCCGATTGACCATCACTTCCCTCATCGGCCATATCATTGAAATCGACCTCATCTTCGCTCACATTATCGTTAGCTACGGGTTTGCGTGCCTTTCGACCCATTCTTCCGATTCAACACAATCTGAAGACTTTAACAAATGGTCACAAGTTATGACTCAAAACACAAATTGTAATCAAAAACAAATAAAATGTGTTAAAAGTTTTGTAACGAAAACA